TTGGTCAAGGGAGTGGGTCCCACAAGCTGATTTTGGTCCCCCACTACCCTAGTTTCTTGTTCCCCAACTCTACCGGCCAAGCTTCAACTCGATCGAGCTGAGAACTCAACAGTCAAACCCGAAAAATGTTGCTTCCCCCTTGACTTGTCTTTGACCCTAAACCTAAATCCTCTTGTATTTAAGGTTAAAAGCCACGAAAAAACAGCCAAGCTTTAGATTATTATTGTTTTAGTTTCTTTTAATTTTATTGTCTTTTACTTTTGAGAGCTTGATGTACTTGCATTTTACATAGTTTTAGCACATCTTTTATGCATCTTTTGCATAGTTTTAGCTTTCATTTGCATCATATCTTGTTCCTTTTCTCTTCTTATGCATTCATGTTAGTTTTAGGTTGCATTTGCATACATATGCATGTTTGGTCCTTTGAAATAGGTCTTTTGGAGCATTCTGGAGCATATGGGACAAGGAGCATGGAGGGACTTGGCACATGGAAGCAGCTCAACTGGATACGCAAAGGAAGAAGGGAGAAGCCATCTTGAAGACCACCAGCTCGACCGTCTACTCGACCAACCGGTCGAGTTCCTCAACTCGACCGGCCAAGCTTCAACTCGATCGAGCTGGGGAGTCAAAGTCAAACCCGAAAAATGTTGCTTCCCCCTTGACTTCCCTTTGACCCTAAACCTAATCCTCTTTGTATTTAAAGGCTCTAGCCACGAAAAAACCACCAAGCTTTAGATTACTTTTGTTTTAGCTTCTTTTAATTTTATTGTACTTTTACTTTTTAGAGATCTAATCCCATCTTTGTGTTCTTGAAGCTCTTGCTTCTTGAATCTTAGATCCTGGATAATCTCTCTTGTATTTGCACTTGCTTATTTCAATAAAAGTTGTTTAATTTCATCTCCTCTTTCTTATGATGTCTCTTTTATTGCATTTGCTTGTGTTTACATTCATGTGTAGTGAGTAGTTACCCATTGGGGTTTGAGATGGGATAGATTAGAGGTTTCATATGCTTAATCCTTCTAGCTTATGGTCTTAATCTAGATTCTCTCTCTTTTGGATAGATCTTAAGGCTACATGACCACTACCCCTGGCTTGTAAGTCCTTAGGCGACTCCCCACACGAAAGTGATGGCATTCGCTGGAAAAGATCCACTAAGAGCTCCAATATCTCTTGCTCTAGACAATAGAGGTCTAAGGGGTTGGATGGATTAGTTTGGGCAATGATCCTATAGCCTCCAAGGTTTGATTCTCACTGGCTAACCCCCTGTTTCTGAGATCATTCCTTGGTTGATAGCCTCCACCTTGGGAAAGGGTTGGCTAGGCATTGAGAAGCCCAATATCAAGAGAAGCCTTGATACAAGGAGTTTTAAGAGCTAGATTGATTAAGTGTAGATTCCTTTGATTGCAAAACCCTGTCTTGAACCCTAATTCTCTCTTTATCTTGTTAAAGTCGTCACCTTTAGCTTTGTTTGTCTCAACTCGTCCCTAAACTCGATCGAGCTGGTACTTTGCTCTAGCTCGACTCGAGCTCTTGGTCGAGCTGACTTCACTGCTTTGTTTACTTTTATTGCACTGCTTTTCATTTTTAGGTTGTTAGTGTTACTTCAAATCTATAACTGCTTGCTTGACTTCCTGGTTGTTTCATATTCTCAAAGAGTGACAAGTTCCCATTTTGGATTGATAACCCTTTATACTACAACTATGATGGTTAAGGGAATTGTTGATGTGTTTGTGTTTGCATCTTACCACTCATCATATACCACTGTTTGCATTCCACTCATCTCATTCATATCTTTTCACATCCACACACAAAAATCCTATCATCAATTTGGCGCCGTTGCCGATTTGGGATATTTTTGTTGCATTTGAGTTTCAAACACACTTGGACGATCAAGCTATACCACCCCTGTTCTATTGTACTGCTGGGTTTTTGTCTCTTTTTGCAGGTGTATGCGAACTCGATCGAGTCGGTCAACTGAAGACTTGGTCGAGCTAGACTTCACAACGGGTAGAAAGAGGGTTCAGAGGTCACAGAGGGTACAAGAGGAACCTGAGGTGCTTGTTGCTGATACAATGGACATGTACCAGAGGGGAATGGAAACCCTTTGGGTAATGGACTCGGTCGAGCTAGGCAAACTCGACCGATTGGTCAAGGAGATGCTCCAAACCGCCACCAACAGAGACAAGGGATTGTTCCACCACCAGTGCAGAACCACAACTTTGAGATCAAGCTGGGAATGATCAACCTTGTCCAGAACAAGATGTTCCATGGATTGCCAAGTGAAGACCCCATTGACCACCTTGATGAGTTTGATAGGCTTTGTGATTTGACAAAGATCAATGGTGTCTCTGAAGATGCCATCAAGCTGAGACTCTTTCCTATGTCTCTAGCTGACAAAGCTCACCAATGGGAGAAGAGCTTGCCCCATGGCACAATCACCACTTGGGATGAATGCAAGAAGGCCTTTCTTGCTAAATTTTTCTCCACCGGTCGCACAGCCAAGCTTAGAGGAGAGATATCCAGCTTCATCCAGCGAAACAATGAGACATTCGCAGAGGCTTGGGAGAGGTTCAAAGGCTACACAAGTCAGTGCCCACACCATGGATTCAACAATGAATCACTACTCTCCACTCTTTATAGAGGATGCTTGCCTAGGTATAGGGAGATGCTAGACACAGCTAGCAATGGGAACTTCCTCAACCAGGATGTAGATGATGGCTGGCAACTTGTGGAGAACATAGCCAACTCAAATGGAAGCTATGGAGAGAGTATGATCGCACCAACCGGAGCTCGACCCACCACTCGATCGAGTCAGACGAAAAGTTGAGAAAAGATGTTAAGGCATTGAATGAGAAGTTGGATAAGCTGATCCTAGCTCAGTCCACAATGAAGAAAGTCAACTTTGTGTCTGCTGAGGAGATGGAACCAGTCCAAGAAGGGGAGGATACACAATTTGCTGAGGTGTGCTACATGAGCAATGGGCAAGGAGGTTACAACAAAGGATACTATAACTACAAGTCCAACCCTGCCATGTCATACCGCAACACTGATGTTGCTAACCCTCAGGACCAAGTATATCCTCAACAACAAGCAGCTCGATCGAGTCAGCCACAACATGGGTATGGTCAAAAGAACAATTACCAAGGACCACAAGGCACTTTCCCTGGACAACAAATGAATATCCCACCAGGCTTCCCCCACCAACCGCCCCAGCCTGCACCTTCACAAGAGAATGAGCTCAAGGCAATGCTAAAGCAACTACTTCAAGGGCAAGCTGATGGGGTAGTGGACACAAGCAAGAAGCTAGCTGAAATAAACTCTAAGATCGAGAACCTCAACACAAGGGTTTACTCTCTGGAGAATCATGCTTCTTCTGTTGCTGCTGCTACAAAGCAAGGACAACTACCTGGTAAAGCTATTCAGAACCCCAAGGAACAGTGCAAGGTCATCTTCACTCAAGAAGGACTTGTTGAAGAAGAGGATCAAGAAAGGGTCATTGAAGATTTTTGTTTACTGCTGAATGATGAAGAGATTGTTGCTGCTGAGGCTCCTGGAGTCCAGATTGATCAACCAGAAGTGCAGGCACCACTGTTGGCCATTCACACTTCACCAGTTGAGCTCGCACGACAAGCTCGATCGGCAGCTCGATCGAGTCCAACTCTAGCTCGATGTCCGACCTCTTCTGTCCGACAACCTGTTTTGCTTGATCCCTACACACCAGTTGCCGCTTCCTCATCTCGCCTACTTACTCAAGGTCACAAGGAAGTGATTCACAAGTTCAGAAGAGATCTCAGTGGGATTGGAATTGAGTTGCCTTCCATGGATAGCATGAGTGAGGCATTTGATCAAATGCAAATGGTCAAGGATGTTCTAGCCAACAGTGATAAAGTTTCAGAGGTCCTACAAGAGTCTACTCATCAGTTCAACCTGCTTACTTCACCCACCTTCCTACCAAAGGTCAAAGATCAAGGGAAATTCACTCTCCCTTGCACACTTGGGCATCTTGAGCTTGACAATGCCTTAGTGGATTCTGGAGCAAGCATCAATCTGATCTCTCTCCATGGCAGAGAAGCTAGGCATTGCTGGAGCCTTGCAGCGCCCTACTACTTCAATCATGTTTGGAGATGCAACTTCTAAGTCTCCTCTTGGAGTGTTCAAGAACTATCACTTGAAAATTGGAGAATGCATCATCCAAACTGATCTCACTGTGATGGAAATGGAAGAAGAGAAGGATTTGCCACTGTTATTGGGAACCCCTTTCCTTAGTACAGTTGGCGCTTCAATAGACTTTCACAAGCAAGAAGTGATCCTTCACAAGGTGAATAGTTTGGTGTCATATCGCTTGCAGCCTAGAGGTTCAGACTTTTGTGCCACAATTGACAGTACCAATCTCAGTTCTAAGAGTCATGGAGCTACAAAGGTTGTGAAGGAAAGGGTTGACAAAGAACCAAGAGTTGGAAGGATAAGGTTTGATGAGAGGACCAAGGATTGAGAAGCCACGTCTTGAGAGGGCTAGAGTTGAGAAACCACGATCTGATAGGCCAAGAGCTGAAGACTTGTTCAAGCCCCTTGTGTGCTTGATGAAGAGAGCCTTCAAGCTTTGTTTGATGAGCCACTAGGAAGGGCTCTAAAAGAAGGGGAGGATGTAGCCTCTAAGGCAAGACCAGGGGATAAAAGAAAAGATCCACCAGCTCAGGCCCCTTCATCAAGCCATCTCAGCTCACAATGACTTTGTTCCCCACCAAGTTTGAAAATGGGAAGATTGAGTACAAGATAAGGTACAAGGGGAGATCAAGGCCATTCTCTAGAGCCAAGGCTTTGGTGACTTCAGAACAGTCCAGGGACCCACCAAGCTAAAGGAGCTTCTGTCTCAAGTCCTCACTATCACCCTTATGGTGGGACTAGCTCAACCAATGCCTAAGAGGTAAAGGTCAAGCTATGGGATCTTAAACAAGCTCACTTGGGAGGAAGTCCCATGTTTATCCTTGTACATACTCTATTTTATGCAATTTCTATCTATCTTTATGTTTTTAACCGTTCAATAAGATAAGTTTAGGTGTCTAAGGAGCCAGCTCGACCAACGACTCGATCGAGCTACACAACTCGACCGAGGTAAGTTTTTTGAATTTCAAATTTATAACCGTTTTTTTGGTCAAGGGAGTGGGTCCCACAAGCTGATTTTGGTCCCCCACTACCCTAGTTTCTTGTTCCCCAACTCTACCGGCCAAGCTTCAACTCGATCGAGCAGAGAACTCAACAGTCAAACCCGAAAAATGTTGCTTCCCCCTTGACTTGTCTTTGACCCTAAACCTAAATCCTCTTGTATTTAAGGGCTAAAAGCCACGAAAAAACAGCCAAGCTTTAGATTATTATTGTTTTAGTTTCTTTTAATTTTATTGACTTTTACTTTTGAGAGCTTGATGTACTTGCATTTTACATAGTTTTAGCACATCTTTTATGCATCTTTTGCATAGTTTTAGCTTCCATTTGCATCATATCTTGTTCCTTTTCTCTTCTTATGCATTCATGTTAGTTTTAGGTTGCATTTGCATACATATGCATGTTTGGTCCTTTGAAATAGGTCTTTTGGAGCATTCTGGAGCATATGGGACATGAGGAGCATGGAGGGACTTGGCACATGGAAGCAGCTCAACTGGACACGCAAAGGAAGAAGGGAGAAGCCATCTTGAAGACCAGCTCGACCGTCTACTCGACCAACCGGTCGAGTTCCTCAACTCGACCGGCCAAGCTTCAACTCGATCGAGCTGGGGAGTCAAAGTCAAACCCGAAAAATGTTGCTTCCCCCTTGACTTTCCTTTGACCCTAAACCTAATCCTCTTTGTATTTAAAGGCTCTAAGCCACGAAAAAACCACCAAGCTTTAGATTATTTTGTTTTAGTTTCTTTAATTTATTGTCTTTTACTTTTTAGAGATCTAATCCCATCTTTGTGTTCTTGAAGCTCTTGCTTCTTGAATCTAGATCCTGGATAATCTCTTTGTATTTGCACTTGCTTATTTCAATAAAAGTTGTTTAATTTCATCTCCTCTTTCTTATGATGTCTCTTTTATTGCATTTGCTTGTGTTTACATTCATGTGTAGTGAGTAGTTACCCATTAGGGTTTGAGATGGGATAGATTAGAGGTTTCATATGCTTAATCCTTCTAGCTTATGGTCTTAATCTAGATTCTCTCTCTTTTGGATAGATCTTAAGGCTACATGACCACTACCCCTGGCTTGTAAGTCCTTAGGCGACTCCCCACACGAAAGTGATGGCATTCGCTGGAAAAGATCCACTAAGAGCTCCAATATCTCTTGCTCTAGACAATAGAGGTCTAAGGGGTTGGATGGATTAGTTTGGGCAATGATCCTATAGCCTCCAAGGTTTGATTCTCACTGGCTAACCCCCTGTTTCTGAGATCATTCCTTGGTTGATAGCCTCCACCTTGGGAAAGGGTTGGCTAGGCATTGAGAAGCCCAATATCAAGAGAAGCCTTGATACAAGGAGTTTTAAGAGCTAGATTGATTAAGTGTAGATTCCTTTGATTGCAAAACCCTGTCTTGAACCCTAATTCTCTCTTTATCTTGTTAAAGTCGTCACCTTTAGCTTTGTTTGTCTCAACTCGTCCCTAAACTCGATCGAGCTGGTACTTTGCTCTACTCGACTCGAGCTCTTGGTCGAGCTGACTTCACTGCTTTGTTTACTTTTATTGCACTGCATTTCATTTTTAGGTTGTTAGTGTTACTTCAAATCATAACTGCTTGCTTGACTTTCTGGTTGTTTCATATTGAGTGACAAGTTTCCCATTTTGGATTGATACTACAACTATCATGGTTAAAGGGAATTGTTGACTGTGTTTGTGTTTGCATCTTACCACTCATCATATACCACTGATTGCATTCCACTCATCTCATTTCATATCTTTTCACATCCACACACAAATCCTATCATCAATTTGGCGCCGTTGCCGATTTGGGAATATTTTTGTTGCATTTGAGTTTCAAACACACTTGGACGATCAAGCTATACCACCCCTGTTCTATTGTACTGCTGGGTTTTTGTCTCTTTTTGCAGGTGTATGCGAACTCGATCGAGTCGGTCTACTGAAGACTTGGTCGAGCTAGACTTACAACGGGTAGAAAGAGGGTTCAGAGGTCACAGAGGGTACAAGAGGAACCTGAGGTGCTTGTTGCTGATACAATGGATGTACCAGAGGGGAATGGAAACCCTTTGGGAATGGACTCGGTCGAGCTAGGCAAACTCGACCGATTGGTCAAGGAGATGCTCCAAACCGCCACCAACAGAGACAAGGGATTGTTCCACCACCAGTGCAGAACCACAACTTTGAGATCAAGCTGGGAATGATCAACCTTGTCCAGAACAAGATGTTCCATGGATTGCCAAGTGAAGACCCCATTGACCACCTTGATGAGTTTGATAGGCTTTGTGATTTGACAAAGATCAATGGTGTCTCTGAAGATGCCATCAAGCTGAGACTCTTTCCTATGTCTCTAGCTGACAAAGCTCACCAATGGGAGAAGAGCTTGCCCCATGGCACAATCACCACTTGGGATGAATGCAAGAAGGCCTTTCTTGCTAAGTTTTTCTCCACCGGTCGCACAGCCAAGCTTAGAGGAGAGATATCCAGCTTCATCCAGCGAAACAATGAGACATTCGCAGAGGCTTGGGAGAGGTTCAAAGGCTACACAAGTCAGTGCCCACACCATGGATTCAACAATGAATCACTACTCTCCACTCTTTATAGAGGATGCTTGCCTAGGTATAGGGAGATGCTAGACACAGCTAGCAATGGGAACTTCCTCAACCAGGATGTAGATGATGGCTGGCAACTTGTGGAGAACATAGCTAACTCAAATGGAAGCTATGGAGAAGAGTATGATCGCACCAACCGGAGCTCGACCCACCACTCGATCGAGTCAGACGAAAAGTTGAGAAAAGATGTTAAGGCATTGAATGAGAAGTTGGATAAGCTGATCCTAGCTCAGTCCACAATGAAGAAAGTCAACTTTGTGTCTGCTGAGGAGATGGAACCAGTCCAAGAAGGGGAGGATACACAATTTGCTGAGGTGTGCTACATGAGCAATGGGCAAGGAGGTTACAACAAAGGATACTATAACTACAAGTCCAACCCTGCCATGTCATACCGCAACACTGATGTTGCTAACCCTCAGGACCAAGTATATCCTCAACAACAAGCAGCTCGATCGAGTCAAGCCACAACATGGGTATGGTCAAAAGAACAATTACCAAGGACCACAAGGCACTTTCCCTGGACAACAAATGAATATCCCACCAGGCTTCCCCACCAACCGCCCCAGCCTGCACCTTCACAAGAGAATGAGCTCAAGGCAATGCTAAAGCAACTACTTCAAGGGCAAGCTGATGGGGTAGTGGACACAAGCAAGAAGCTAGCTGAAATAAACTCTAAGATCGAGAACCTCAACACAAGGGTTTACTCTCTGGAGAATCATGCTTCTTCTGTTGCTGCTGCTACAAAGCAAGGACAACTACCTGGTAAAGCTATTCAGAACCCCAAGGAACAGTGCAAGGTCATCTTCACTCAAGAAGGACTTGTTGAAGAAGAGGATCAAGAAAGGGTCATTGAAGATTTTTGTTTACTGCTGAATGATGAAGAGATTGTTGCTGCTGAGGCTCCTGGAGTCCAGATTGATCAACCAGAAGTGCAGGCACCTACTGTGGCCATTCACACTTCACCAGTTGAGCTCGCACGACAAGCTCGATCGGCAGCTCGATCGAGTCCAACTCTAGCTCGATCGAGTCCGACCTCTTCTGTCCGAAAGCCTGTTTTGCTTGATCCTTACCAACCGGTTGCCGCTTCCTCGTCTCGCCTACTTAGTCAAGGTCACAAGGAAGTGATTCACAAGTTCAGAAGAGATCTCAGTGGGATTGGAATTGAGTTGCCTCCTATGGATAGCATGAGTGAGGCATTTGATCAAATGCAAATGGTCAAGGATGTTCTAGCCAACAGTGATAAAGTTTCAGAGGTCCTACAAGAGTCTACTCATCAGTTCAACCTGCTTACTTCACCCACCTTCCTACCAAAGGTCAAGGATCAAGGGAAATTCACTCTCCCTTGCACACTTGGGCATCTTGAGATTGACAATGCCTTAGTGGATTCTGGAGCAAGCATCAATCTGATCTCTCTCTCCATGGCAGAGAAGCTAGGCATTGCTGGAGCCTTGCAGCGCCCTACTACTTCAATCATGTTTGGAGATGCAACTTCTAAGTCTCCTCTTGGAGTGTTCAAGAACTATCACTTGAAAATTGGAGAATGCATCATCCAAACTGATCTCACTGTGATGGAAATGGAAGAAGAGAAGGATTTACCTCTGTTATTGGGAACCCCTTTCCTTAGTACAGTTGGCGCTTCAATAGACTTTCACAAGCAAGAAGTGATCCTTCACAAGGTGAATAGTTTGGTGTCATATCGCTTGCAGCCTAGAGGTTCAGACTTTTGTGCCACAATTGACAGTACCAATCTCAGTTCTAAGAGTCATGGAGCTACAAAGGTTGTGAAGGAAAGGGTTGACAAAGAACCAAGAGTTGGGAAGGATAAGGATGAGAGAGGACCAAGGATTGAGAAGCCACGTCTTGAGAGGGCTAGAGTTGAGAAACCACGATCTGATAGGCCAAGAGCTGATAGACTTGTTCAAGCCCCTTGTGTGCTTGATGAAGAGAGCCTTCAAGCTTTGTTTGATGAGCCACTAGGAAGGGCTCTAAAAGAAGGGGAGGATGTAGCCTCTAAGGCAAGACCAGGGATAAAAGAAAGATCCACCAGCTCAGGCCCCTTCAGTCAAGCCATCTCAGCTCACAATGACTTTGTTCCCCACCAAGTTTGAAAATGGGAAGATTGAGTACAAGATAAGGTACAAGGGGAGATCAAGGCCATTCTCTAGAGCCAAGGCCTTGGTGACTTCAGAACAGTCCAGGGACCCAACCAAGCTAAAGGAGCTTCTGTCTCAAGTCCTCACTATCACCCTTGATGGTGGGACTAGCTCAACCAATGCCTAAGAGGTAAAGGTCAAGCTATGGGACCTTAAACAAGCTCACTTGGGAGGAAGTCCCATGTTTATCCTTGTACATACTCTATTTATGCAATTTCTATCTATCTTTATGTTTTTAACCTTTCAATAAGTTAAGTTTAGGTGTCAAGGAGCCAGCTCGACCAACGACTCGATCGAGCTACACAACTCGACCGAGGTAAGTTTTTGAATTTCAAATTTCATAACCGTTTTCTTGGTCAAGGGAGTGGGTCCCACAAGCTGATTTTGGTCCCCCACTACCCTAGTTTCTTGTTCCCCAACTCTACCGGCCAAGCTTCAACTCGATCGAGCAGAGAACTCAACAGTCAAACCCGAAAAATGTTGCTTCCCCCTTGACTTGTCTTTGACCCTAAACCTAAATCCTCTTGTATTTAAGGGCTAAAAGCCACGAAAAAACAGCCAAGCTTTAGATTATTATTGTTTTAGTTTCTTTTAATTTTATTGACTTTTACTTTTGAGAGCTTGATGTACTTGCATTTTACATAGTTTTAGCACATCTTTTATGCATCTTTTGCATAGTTTTAGTTTCCATTTGCATCATATCTTGTTCCTTTTCTCTTCTTATGCATTCATGTTAGTTTTAGGTTGCATTTGCATACATATGCATGTTTGGTCCTTTGAAATAGGTCTTTTGGAGCATTCTGGAGCATATTGGACATGAGGAGCATGGAGGGACTTGGCGCATGGAAGCAGCTCAACTGGACACGCAAAGGAAGAAGGGAGAAGTCATCTTGAAGACCAGCTCGACCGTCCACTCGACCGTTCCTACTCGACCAACCGGTCGAGTTCCTCAACTCGACCGGCCAAGCTTCAACTCGATCGAGCTGGGGAGTCAAAGTCAAACCCGAAAAATGTTGCTTCCCCCTTGACTTTCCTTTGACCCTAAACCTAATCCTCTTTGTATTTAAGGGCTAAAAGCCACGAAAAAACCACCAAGCTTTAGATTATTTTGTTTTAGCTTTTCTTTAATTTTATTGTCTTTACTTTTAGCAACCCTAATCCCATCTTTGTGTTCTTGAAGCTCTTGCTTCTTGAATCTTAGATCCTGGATTATTTGCTTTGTATTTGCACTTGCTTATTTCAATAAAAGTTGTTTAATTTCATCTCCTCTTTCTTATGATGTCTCTTTTATTGCATTTGCTTGTGTTTACATTCATGTGTAGTGAGTAGTTACCCATTAGGGTTTGAGATGGGATAGATTAGAGGTTTCATATGCTTAATCTTCTAGCTTATGGTCTTAATCTAGATTCTCTCTCTTTTGGATAGATCTTAAGGCTACATGACCACTACCCCTGGCTTGTAAGTCCTTAGGCGACTCCCCACACGGAAGTGATGGCATTCGCTGGAAAAGATCCACTAAGAGCTCCAATATCTCTTGCTCTAGACAATAGAGGTCTAAGGGGTTGGATGGATTAGGTCGTGCGTGGCTGTGGCGTGAGCTGTTGTGGTGTGGTCGACCGCGGGCAATAGTTTCTCGGGTCGTGACTTGCGTTCGGCCGAACAGTTTTGGACTTTGGCCGAGACTTCAGACGGACGGGTGAGATTCTGGCCGAGCGTGAAACGTTCGTTTCTCGGCCAGTCAGACTGCACGGTTTGGGCGCTGTTCTCGATAGAGCCGTCTGGAGCAGTCTTCACTCTTTTGGTTGTAACTCCGTTTCCACTCATCCAAATTAGGCCGTTCCAGTTGCGTTGGAAAGTTAACTCAATCAGAGCACGCAGGGAACTGGTCTTGATGAAATCCATTGAGTAGATCTTTTTCTGGGCCCTCTTAAAGTTGATGCTTGTGCATGGAGCGGCTTGAAGTGCAAATCCTATGGTTTTGCTCCAAAATGCATCATTTCACCTGTTTAGACTCTAGACACTATAAACACAGTAAAACTACGTTTTTAGATAGAAAACCTGCCAAAAACCATTAGAAAACAATACTAAAATAGTATAAAAAGCATGTAAAATAGAGGTATATCAAGTTCCCACGTTTTTCAAAACCTCTTCACTAGTTTAGATTCTTTTTGCTTGGGGACAAGCAAAGATCTAAGTCTGGGGGAGTTGATATACCTCTATTTTACCTACTTTTTATGCTATTTTACTATGGTTTTCTAATGGTTTTCTAGTGGATTCTTGTGTTAAAAGGTAGTTTTTATGGATTTATAGTGCAAAGAGTCATTTTAGGTAAAAAGGTGCATTATGGAGCAAAACAGAGATTTGGACTCTAAACCAGTTCAATGCCCCTGCATCAACTTTGGATGGAGCTAGAAAAAGATCTACTCAATGGATTTCATCAAGACCAGTTCCCTGCGTGCTCTGATTGAGTTAACTTTCCAACGCAACTGGAACGGCCTCATTTGGATGAGTAGAAAAGGAGTTATAGCCAAAAGAGTGAAGACTGTCCAGCCAGCTCTATCGAGAATCAGCGCCCAACCGCGCAGACCGGCTGGCCGAGGAACGAATGTTCCGCGCTCGGCCAAAACGTCCGTCCGTCTGAAGTCTCGGCCAAAGTTCAAAACCGTCGGCCGATCACGCATCACGACCCGGGAAACAGCCCGCGGTCGGCCAGCCACAACCGTCACGCCACGCCGCGCACGACCATGCCGCGCGAGCCGGGAACAAGCCTCGCGGCCGCGCAACCTACTCGCGTACCACGGCCGATGTCCGTCCGAGCCGGGAAAACGTCCCACGTCCGGCCGAGAAACCATCGGCCAAATTCATCCGTCCGACCACACCGGCCGACCGTGAAATCATCCGGCCACGACCGTTCCGACTCGGCCACAGACCCGACTGTCCGGCCGATCGTCCCGACCGACCGTCCGAACGCCGCGGTCGACCCGAAGCCGTTTTTGAAGCCCAATCCGCACAATTCAAGCCCAAAGCCGGCGCCGACCTAGCTAGATTAGGTCTAGCCGCTTTTTCATACTTAGTGCATTATAAATACTTCTTTTTAGCCTTGTAACTCAAGAAGGAGAGAGACCACAATCTATTTTACATCTTTAATAAAGTTTTGCTTGCTTTTACTTTGTTCTTGCTTGTTACTCTTTCTAGAGAGGATTCGAATCTCTGTTCTTATGAATATGAATTCGTGTTCCTTCTCTATGTCTGAGTAGTTTACTTGTTAAGTGATAGGAAGTCAAAGGATAGCATTCATGTATGCTTGATGATTGATCACAATTAGGGTTTTACTTATAATCTCCATCTTTGCTTATACTTAATGCTTGTTGTTAATCTGGCCAATTAGCATATGCCTTTAGGTTGATTTGAGCCTCGACAGTGCTGTATCATTCGCCTGAACTAGTATTTGGTGGGCAACCTCTTTTAGACTGCGAAAGTTGATTTACTTGTAGGTTGTGAACAATTGAACTTAATCGAACTAATGCTTGATTTAATCACCTAGGGACATACCAAAAGTTTAGCGACTAGGTAGATTAACAAAGGGGTCGGAGCCTCGACAGTGGAATGATCATACCATAGTGTTTCAAGTTCTAGATTAGCACCTAATTGCAGTAACCCTAATTGATTGATTTCATGCTTCATGAATTGCTTATCTTAAGACTATCCTATTGCTTAGCCTTTTCTCCTATTGATCTTATTCTCTTTTAATTACTTGCATGCTTTACTTTCTCTGCACTCAACCAACTTATACTTTTGCCCTAGCTCGATCTCAACTTCATAGCTTGTAGTGTGCAATCTGGTCCTCGTGTTCGATACCCGTTTACTACTTCTGACCTGTGCACTTGCAGAATCAGGGATAGGAAAGGAAGACCTGATCCCGCGATCAAGTTTTTGGCGCCGTTGCCGGGGACCAATTCGCACCTACAAGTTCCTTGCAAGAGAGCTAGTCTAGGGTTTTATCTTTTCCTTTTTGTTTTGTTATTTTTCCTTTTTCTTTTGATTTGGTTTTTCCTTTTTGTTTTTGAGCTTTTTCAGGTTTTCCTAGTTAGATATGGAGAAGGATTCACAAGTCCTTGTTCCTATAAAGGCGATCCACTTCGCCACATACCACCTCAAAGAACCTCTTGGACGAACAAGAGATGTCAAGCCCTCAAGCACCACCACCTTCTTGGGATAGTCCTCCAAACTATCTCCTTGAAGACAAAGAAGAAACTTCTTCCCTACCTTGAAGCAGCCGACCTGGAGACGTCTAGCCAAGCCGCATCTTACAGAGAAGAACACCTTCTAGCCACACCAGAAGAGGAGATTGACCCTGAGCTGATCGAGTTCGTGAAGAGAGATCAATTCCATGATCTGTTTTCAGAGTATGCGCTGGAGCATAGATCACTTTGATAATCTTTGTGATTCCTATGGAGTTTTTGACTTTGAGAAGAAGATGATGCTATTCAGCACATCACTAGCTGGACCAGCACTAGATTGGGCGCAGCATGGCCACTCTCTACAATCGAGTCATGGATCGATTTTAGAGAAGCTTTCTTGAAGAGATTTGCAAGGCTACCACCTTAGCGACTAGGTAGATTAACAAAGGGGTCGGAGCCTCAACAGTGGAATGATCATACCTTAGTGCTTCAAGTTCTAGATTGGCACCTAATTGCAGTAACCCTAATTGATTGATTTCTTACTTCATGAATTGCTTATCTTAAGACTATCCTATTGCTTAGCCCTTTTCTATTGATCTTATTCTCTTTTAAACTTGCATGCCTTTACTCTTACTGCACTCAACCAAACCTTATACTTTTGCCCTAGCTCGATCTCGAACTTATAGCTTGTAGTGTGCAATCTGGTCCTCGTGTTCGATACCCGTTTACTATTTCTGACCTGTGCACTTGCAGAATCAGGGATAGGAAAGGGGAAGACCTGATCCCGCGATCATGTAGCGACTAGGTAGATTAACAAAGGAGCCCGAGCCTCGAAAGTGGAATGGTTTTATATTCGTGATCTGTGTTCGAGACGGTTCTTAATATCCCAACATCCCTAATCAATTCATCTATAATTGTTTCATTGATCATTGCTTGCTTCTCTGTGATTAGCCCCTGTTGACCTAGCGCTTCTTCCTTATTGATTTACAACCTCGTTTACTTGCTAGTTCTGTTCACCATTACAACCTCAAACCATAATTTTGTTTTAGCTTAATCCAAAATCCATAGTTACAAAGTGTACTCAATAGCCAGTCCTTGTGTTCGATACCCATACTTGCGCTTGTAGAGGTCTAAGAGTTTGGTAAAACCTGACTCAACATCGGAGAGTTATTTGAATGCATTGAGTAAGTCGAGTCTAGTGTCTCCCTGTTGCTTTGTTTGGTGTGGCTAAAATTTTGGAAGTAGAGCTCATTCGCTTTGCATTTTATGATTCTCAACTCGATCATTGATTTTGTTTCCTCTCATTGCATCCTTGAATTTTGAGTCCTCGACATATCAGCATCTCTCAGATTTATTCTTCTCGCTTGAGGGCAAGCAAGATTCAAGTTTGGGGGTGTTGATATCCACATATATTAACATATCTTAGCATACTTTTACATGCATATTTCCACCTTCTAAGTCTCATTCTCATACATTTATATCCTTATATCTCTAACTATACACTTGCATCTTCATTAGGACTTGCATTGCATATACATTGCATTTTGAGTCTGAATCAGGTACTTAATGGAGCTTTGGAGCCATTTGGGAAGTAGGAGTGTTGGAGACGTCAAGACGAAGAGCAACCAGGATGTGAACCAGGATCAAAAACCCGTTTGTCGCCTTACAAGCTTTTCTTGACCAAGAAGAGAGTTGACCATGCCTAAGTGAAACGCAGAGTTTTGGAGCTTAAATCTTGGGGAAGGAAAGAAGAAGGGTTTTAGAGTCTCCACTATATAAACTTAAAAGCCAGAAAATTTTAGGCATCTTGTAATTTGTCTTTCATTTTGCCACCAAGTTATACTCTAGTTCGAGATCTTAGACTTTGTAAGCTTGGATCTTTTCCTTTAATCTAAATCACGTACTTGTTTATTTAATTGGTTCATTGCATCTCACTTACTTGTTTGACAACCTTTCCTCTATTGGAATCGGTTTGTTAACCAGGATGAGTGAGTAGTCATTAGATCGTTTTAGGTGATTCGGTTCTGAGGGCTTGAAAGGAGAGTCTGAGTTTAAAGCTAGAACCTTTAGAGTTTCTCCTTTCTTAGTATCCTTAAAGCCCTGCCTTTTCTGATAATTCTGGCTCGGATCTCAAGCTCTCACCACAGCAAAAATGTGTTTGAGAGCAAAAAAATATAAGATAAGGGATCTACTTCTCTAGCCCGCGATAGCGGTTTGTTTAAAGCTTGCTTGAGTACAAGCTCACTGACGATAGTCAGATCTTGAGTTTGGACCTTGCATTTGAGCTCATTCACGATAGTGATGAGTCCTTGCTTTCGTTTTCCTTAGCCTAGAAACTCAGTTTTATCTTTTAAGTCTTAAAGTCTCTTTCTTTAGCTTGATTTCCATCCGCAATCACCTAAAGCCATCGCCTTTCTTCATTTCCTTTTATAAAGTTCAAGTCTTTTAGCTCAAAGTCGAAACCTTTGCCTTTGAATTCGGATTTGGACCGCTAATTTATTGTTCTAAGTTTGTATTTTACTGTTTAACGTTCGGATTTCATAAAAACCAAATCTTTGTTCTTGGTTTGAAGCTTTCTTGCATCACTTTAAAAACCAATCTTCTCTGGGATTTGGATTGACACCTTTACTATACTGCGATGATATGAGCAGAGATTTGAGGGTCTGAATCTACTAAAAATCTTGTTATCAAACAGGCGCCGTTGCCGGGGAGGGTGGTGTGGGAATGTCATCAAGGTCAATGGGGTCGGTAGAAGACGTTGGAGGTGACGATGCGCCTGTTTTTCTCTTCCGCTTGCTTCTCTTCAACGATGGCTCTGCGGTTTTTGTTGGTGATGTTGTTTTGGTCGCTTCAGGGGACTTGCAGGAGAGTTTCCCTTTGAGGACATTGACTGTCTCCGTAAGTTTCTTGATCACCTCATCATGTTTCTTGCACCACCTTTGAAGCATGCCAATGTGCTCGTGTGCCTTGATAATCACCAGAACGCTTCCACTCGCGTTGTAAGGGATGAAGTCAAACTCACCCTCAAATCACAAGATTAGAAAACTCTCCAAGCTCATTACACTTGACTTTCATTGCCTTTTTAGGCTTGGGGTGGATCATGGAGACGGATTGAACTTCCTTCTTCAATGCTTTGACTTCCCATGTACTTCTTCAACCGGTGACCGTTAACCGTGAACTCGGCTCCATTGTTGTTCACTAAGGTGATGGCTCCATAAGGCAACACCTCTTTGACCTTGAATGGTTCTGACCAGCGACACTTCAGCTTCCCAGGGAAAAGCTTGAGCCTTGAGTTGTAGAGGAGCACATCATCTCCCTCTTTGAAATCCTTGGGAGTGATTCTTTTGTCATGGAAGGCCTTAGTTCTTTCTTTGTATATCCTCGAACTCTCATAGGCATCCAAGCGAATCTCTTCTAGCTCATGGAGGTCCATTTCTCGCTTCTCCTGAGCTGTGCTTAACTCCATGTTTAGGTACTTGATTGCCCATCTAGCTCTGTATTCCAACTCAAGGGGCAGATGACAAGCTTTCCCGTAGATCAAAGAGTATGGCGATCTTCCAATCGGCGTCTTGTACGCAGTTCTATAAGCCCACAAAGCATCATCCAGCTTCTCTGACCAGTCTTTTCTCGATGAGTTCATTGTCTTGTGGAGTATGGCTTTGATTTGCTTGTTGGAGACTTCCACTTGCCCACTAGTTTGAGGATGATAGGGTGTGGCAATCTTGTGTTTCACTCCATACTTTTTCAAAAGGTTTTCAAAGACTTTATTCACAAAGTGAGTGCCTCCATCACTGATTACACAACTTGGGACCCCGAATCTCGGAAAAATTATAGTCTTAAACAGTTTAAGGACTACTTTAGCATCATTGGTGGGCGCGGCTATGGCTTCAACCCATTTTGAGACATAGTCGACGGCGACTAGTATGTAAACGTTGCCGTGAGAGGCAGTGTTAAATGGGCCAACGAAATCTATCCCCCATACGTCAAACAGACGCTCCAGCTCGACCACCGGACTCGATCGAGTCCAAACAGAGGAAACTCAACTCGATCGAGCTGACAGTCGAGCTGACCAGGAGGAGCCCCATTTCGAGGATCCGGGATTTGAATACGATCCCATGCCTTACCAGGAGCCTCCCCGGAGTAGATGGAACCCCTATGGACAGTACGAGCTACCAATGCTCCACCAAGGCCAAGGAAGTCACACACATTTCAACGATGAAGAAGAGGAGGAAGAGGAGCCACAAGCTCGATCGAGTGAGCCGCAAGAGGCAACCCCAGTTGTATGGAGCGCTCCTGATGGCCATCTTCCATCTCCAGACCATGACCTAGTCTCCCAGTTCTTTGGGGGACACTGAGGTATCCAAACACCAACCCTTGTAAATACCATTTCATATTTTCTTGTTTTTGTTCTTGTTTTTCTTGGTTTTGCCCTCTTGAATCTTTCACTGAATTTTTCTCACACAAGGGACTGTGTGATTTAAGTTTGGGGGAGGGTTCAAGAGATGATTTAACCTTGTTTTCTTTGTTCTTAGTTTTTCATTTATCTTTTGCATAGAAAAACCAAAAAAATCATAAAATTTTCAAAAAATCCAAAAATACATTCATCTTTTTGCATTCATATCTGTTAGGATTGTTTAGGATTGCATCTTTCATTTGCATTGTTGATTTGACTTTGAAAACTTGTCCATCTTTTGCGATTTCTTGAGTGCCCTGTTTTTAAATCCTCTTCTCGCAAATCCTCTTCATGCCGAACTAATGTGTATAGTGGGGGCTGAAGTCAATGTTTGTACCTCCTAGAACCGTGGTGAGCTCAGGGTTGGGCAGAAGAAGCTTGGAGGGGCCAGCCAAAGGATGAGTGAATTTGAATTGGAACCTCCCATCCAACTCTTTGTGTTCAATGAAGAGGTTGGTCTTGCAGAACTTAATATCCATCCATCCTGCTGGAGTAGACGTTCTCTTGTCCAAACGGACTCCAACTGCACAGAGGATACGCGTGATGACTGATCGCGGGATCAGGTCTTCCCCTTTCCTATCCCTGATTCTGCAAGTGCACAGGTCAGAAGTAGTAAACGGGTATCGAACACAAGGACCAGATTGCACACTACAAGTTATGAGTTTGAGACAAGCTAGGGCAAAAGTATAAGTTGGTTGAGTGCAGAGAAAGTAAAGCATGCAAGTAATAAAAGTGAAATTCAATAGGAGAGAAAGGCTAAGCAATAGGATAGTCTTGAGATAAGCAATTCAAGAAGCATGAAATCAATCAATTAGGGTTACCGCACTTAGGTGCTAATCTAGAACTTGAAACACTATGGTATGATCATTCCACTGTCGAGGCTCCGACCCCTTTGTTAATCTACCTAGTCGCTAAACTTTTGGTATGTCCCTAGGTGATTAAATCAAGCATTAGTTCGATCAAGATCAATTGTTCACAACCTACAAGTAGATCAACTGTCGCAGTCTAAAAGAGATTGCCCACCAAATACTAGTTCAGGCGAATGATACAGCACTGTCGAGGCTCAAATCAACCTAAAGGCATATGCTAATTGGCCAGATTAACAACAAGCATTAAGTATAAGCAAAGATGGAGATTATAAGTAAAACCCTAATTGTGATCAATCATCAAGCATACATGAATGCTATCCTTTGACTTCCTATCACTTAACAAGTAAACTACTCAGACATAGAGAAGGAACACGAATTCATATTCATAAGAACAGAGATTCGAATCCTCTCTAGAAAGAGTAACAAGCAAGAACAAAGTAAAAGCAAGCAAAACTTTATTAAGATGTAAAATAGATTGTGGTCTCTCTCCTTCTTGAGTTACAAGGCTAAAAAGAAGTATTTATAATGCTCTAAGTATAAGAAGCGGCTAAACCTAATCTAGCTAGGTCGGCGCCGGCTTTGGGCTTGAATTGTGCGGATTGGGCTTCAAAAACGGCTTCGGGTCGACCGCGGCGTTCGGACGGTCGGTCGGGACGGTCGGCCGGACAGTCGGGTCTTGGCCGAGTCGGAACGGTCGTGGCCGGATGATTTCGGTCGGCCGGCGTGGTCGGCGGATGAGATTTGGCCGATGGTTTCTCGGCCGGACGTGGGACGTTTCCCGGCTCGGACGGATGCATCGGCCGTGGTACGCGAGGGTTGCGCGGCCGCGAGGCTTTGTTCCCGGCTCGCGCGGCATGGTCGTGCGCGGCTGGCGTGACGGTTGTGGCTTGGCCGACCGCGGGCAATGTTTCCCGGGTCGTGATGCGTGATCGGCCGGTGGTTTGAACTTTGGCCGAGACTTCAGTCGGACGGATACTTTGGCCGAGCGCGGAACATTCGTTCCTCGGCCAGCCGGACTGCGCGGTTGGCGCTGATTCTCGATAGAGCCGTCTGGAGCAGTCTTCACTCTTTTGGCTATAACTCCTTTTCTACTCATCCAAATAGGCCGTTCCACTTGCGTTGGAAAGTTAACTCAATCAGAGCACGCAGGGAACTGGTCTTGATGAAATCCATTGAGGTGAGGCAAATTTACAAGACATGCAACAAGTTCTAATGGCAAAACAGAGGTGAGGTGAGGCAAATTACAAGATTATAGAAGCAAAATGAAAGCAATTACTCAAGACAAGTCCACAAGGGACACATGCAATCAAAAATCAAAGAGGAAACAAGCAATAGGAATCGAGATGAGGATCAAGGGTTTAGGGTTCATACCTTGCTTGGATGATGGTAGAATCACAGAAGCTAGAACTAAAGAAGAAGAACAAAGAGAAATCGCAAAAACTTAAGAGAGATTGAAAATCGATTTTTCTTGTGGTGAAGAGAGAGAGAGAGATGATTTCAGAAATTTTAAGATTGTGGGAGAGAGAGGGGATTCGATCGAGTTATGGGGAAAGGGGTGTTTGAGATGTGTGGTTGAGATTAAAAGGTGAATAAAGGGGAACAAAAGCTAGGGTTTTTCTGATCAATTAGGGTAGTGGGGGACCAAAATCACTTGTGGGACCCACTCCCTTGACCAAGAAAACGGTTGAATTTGAAATTCAAAAACTTACCTTGGTCGAGTTGTGGAACTCGATCGAGTTGCCCTGGTTTCTAGCTCGATCGAGCTGTCGGTCGAGCTGGCTCCTTTGTCACCTAAACTTAACTTATTGAAAGGTTAAAACATAAAATAGATAGAAATTGCATAAATAGATATGTACAAGGATAAACATGGGACTTCCTCCCAAGTGAGCTTGTTTAAGGTCCCATAGCTTGACCTTTACCTTCTTAGGCATTGGTTGAGCTAGTCCCACCATCAAGGGTGATAGTGAGGACTTGAGACAGAAGCTCCTTTAGCTTGGTTGGGTCCCTGGACTGTTCTGAAGTCACCAAGGCCTTGGCTCTAGAGAATGGCCTTGATCTCCCCTTGTACCTTATCTTGTACTCAATCTTCCCATTTTCAAACTTGGTGGGGAACAAAGTCATTGTGAGCTGAGATGGCTTGACTGAAGGGGCCTGAGCTGGTGGATCCTTTCTTTTATCCTGGTCTTGCCTTAGAGGCTGCATCCTCCCCTTCTTTTAGAGCCCTTCCTAGTGGCTCATCAAACAAAGCTTGAAGGCTCTCTTCATCAAGCACACAAGGGGCTTGAACAAGTCTTCAGCTCTTGGCCTATCAGACGTGGTTTCTCAACTCTAGCCCTCTCAAGACGTGGCTTCTCAATCCTTGGTCCTCTCTCATCCTTATCCTTCCCAACTCTTGGTTCTTTGTCAACCCTTTCCTTCACAACCTTTGTAGCTCCATGACTCTTAGAACTGAGAGTTGGTACTGTCAATTGTGGCACAAAAGTCTGAACCTCTAGGCTGCAAGCGATATGACACCAAACTATTCACCTTGTGAAGGATCACTTCTTGCTTGTGAAAGTCTATTGAAGCGCCAACTGTACTAAGGAAAGGGGTTCCCAATAACAGAGGTAATCCTTCTCTTCTTCCATTTCCATCACAGTGAGATCAGTTTGGATGATGCATTCTCCAATTTTCAAGTGATAGTTCTTGAACACTCCAAGAGGAGACTTAGAAGTTGCATCTCCAAAATGATTGAAGTAGTAGCTCAATGCCTAGCTTCTCTGCCATGGAGAGAGAGATCAGATTGATGCTTGCTCCAGAATCCACAATTGCTCAAGATGCCCAAGTGTGCAAGGGAGAGTGAATTTCCCTTGATCCTTGACCTTTGGTAGGAAGGTGGGTGAAGTAAGCAGGTTGAACTGATGAGTAGACTCTTGTAGGACCTCTGAAACTTTATCACTGTTGGCTAACATCCTTGACCATTTGCATTTGATCAAATGCCTCACTCATGCTATCCATAGGAGGCAACTCAATTCCAATCCCACTGAGATCTCTTCTGAACTTGTGAATCACTTCCTTGTGACCTTGACTAAGTAGGCGAGACGAGGAAGCGGCAACCGGTTGTAAGGATCAAGCAAAAAGGTTTGGGACAGAAGAGGTCGGACTCGATCGAGCTAGAGTTGGACTCGATCGAGCTGCCGATCGAGCTTGTCGTGCGAGCTCAACTGGTGAAGTGTGAATGGCCACAGTAGGTGCCTGCACTTCTGGTTGATCAATCTGGACTCCAGGAGCCTCAGCAGCAACAATCTCTTCATCATTCAGCAGTAAACAAAAATCTTCAATGACCCTTTCTTGATCCTCTTCTTCAACAAGTCCTTCTTGAGTGAAGATGACCTTGCACTGTTCCTTGGGGTTCTGAATAGCTTTACCAGGTAGTTGTCCTTGCTTTGTAGCAGCAGCAACAGAAGAAGCATGATTCTCCAGAGAGTAAACCCTTGTGTTGAGGTTCTCGATCTTAGAGTTTATTTCAGCTAGCTTCTTGCTTGTGTCCACTACCCCATCAGCTTGCCCTTGAAGTAGTTGCTTTAGCATTGCCTTGAGCTCATTCTCTTGTGAAGGTGCAGGCTGGGGTGGTTGGTGGGGAAAGCCTGGTGGGATATTCATTTGTTGTCCAGGGAAAGTGCCTTGTGGTCCTTGGTAATTGTTCTTTTGACCATACCCATGTTGTGGCACCTTGACTCGATCGAGCTGCTTGTTGTTGAGGATAGACTTGGTCCTGAGGGTTAGCAACATCAGTGTTGCGGTATGACATGGCAGGGTTGGACTTGTAATTATAGTATCCTTTGTTGTAACCTCCTTGCCCATTGCTCATGTAGCACACCTCAGCAAATTGTGTATCCTCCCCTTCTTGGACTGGTTCCATCTCCTCAGCAGACACAAAGTTGACTTTCTTCATTGTGGACTGAGCTAGGATCAGCTTATCCAACTTCTCATTCAATGCCTTAACATCTTTTCTCAACTTTTCGTCTGACTCGATCGAGTGGTGGGTCGAGCTCCGGTTGGTGCGATCATACTCTTCTCCATAGCTTCCATTTGAGTTAGCTATGTTCTCCACAAGTTGCCAGCCATCATCTACATCCTGGTTGAGGAAGTTCCCATTGCTAGCTGTGTCTAGCATCTCCCTATACCTAGGCAAGCATCCTCTATAAAGAGTGGAGAGTAGGATTCATTGTTGAATCCATGGTGTGGGCACTGACTTGTGTAGCCTTTGAACCTCTCCCAAGCCTCTGCGAATGTCTCATTGTTTCGCTGGATGAAGCTGGATATCTCTCCTCTAAGCTTGGCTGTGCGACCGGTGGAGAAAAACTTAGCAAGAAAGGCCTTCTTGCATTCATCCCAAGTGGTGATTGTGCCATGGGGCAAGCTCTTCTCCCATTGGTGAGCTTTGTCAGCTAGAGACATAGGAAAGAGTCTCAGCTTGATGGCATCTTCAGAGACACCATTGATCTTTGTCAAATCACAAAGCCTATCAAACTCATCAAGGTGGTCAATGGGGTCTTCACTTGGCAATCCATGGAACATCTTGTTCTGACAAGGTTGATCATTCCCAGCTTGATCTCAAAGTTGTGGTTCTGCACTGGTGGTGGAACAATCCCTTGTCTCTGTTGGTGGCGGTTTGGAGCATCTCCTTGACCAATCGGTCGAGTTTGCCTAGCTCGACCGAGTCCATTCCCAAAGGGTTTCCATTCCCCTCTGGTACATCCATTGTATCAGCAACAAGCACCTCAGGTTCCTCTTGTACCCTCTGTGACCTCTGAACCCTCTTTCTACCCGTTGTAAGTCTAGCTCGACCAAGTCTTCTGTAGACCGACTCGATCGAGTTCGCATACACCTGCAAAAAGAGACAAAAACCCAGCAGTACAATAGAACAGGGGTGGTATAGCTTGATCGTCCAAGTATGTTTGAAACTCAAATGCAACAAAAATATTCCCAAATCGGCAACGGCGCCAAATTGATGATAGGATTTGTGTGTGGATGTGAAAAGATATGAAATGAGATGGTGGAATGCAACAGTGGTATATGATGAGGTGGTAAGATGCAAACACAAACACAGTCAACAATTCCCTTTAACCATCATAGTTGTTATAGTACAAAGGGTTATCAATCCAAAATGGGAAACTTGTCACTCTATGAGAATATGAAACAACCAGGAAGTCAAGCAAGCAGTATGATTAAGTAACACTAACAACCTAAAAATGAAATGCAATGCAATAAAAAAAGCAGTAAAGCAACAGCTCGACCAAGGACTCGAGTCGAGTGGAACAGAGTACCAGCTCGATCGAGTTTAGGGTCGAGTTGAGAAAAAGCTAAAGGCAGCGACTTTAACAAGCTAAGAGAGAATTAGGGTTCAAGACAGGGTTTTGCAATCAGGAATCTACACTTAATCAATCTAGCTCTTAAAACTCCTTGTATCAAGGCTTCTCTTGATATTGGGCTTCTCAATGCCTAGCCAACCCTTTCCCAAGGTGGAGGCTATCAACCAAGGAATGATCTCAGAAACAGGGGGTTAGCCAGTGAGAATCAAACCTTGGAGGCCATAGGATCATTGCCCAAACTAATCCATCCAACCCCTTAGACCTCTATTTCTAGAGCAAGAGATATTGGAGCTCTTAGTGGATCTTTTCCAGCGAATGCCATCACTTCCATGTGGAGAATCGCCTAAGGACTTACAAGCCAGGGGTAGTGGTCATGTAGCCTTAAGATCTATCCAAAAGAGAGAGAATCTAGATTAAGACCATAAGCTAGAAGGATTAAGCATATGAAACCTCTAATCTATCCCATCTCAAACCCTAATGGGTAACTACTCACTACACATGAATGTAAACACAAGCAAATGCATTGAAATAAACATCAAATGAAAGAGGAGATATTCAATTTTAAAGGAATCTTACCTGAACTATGCATGCATCGCATCATCCTGGAGCATGCATCGCATCATCATGTGCATTGAAATAAACATAAACATGAATATGGACATCATACACCTTTGGAATGTAGCTGGAGTATTGCACAACCCAAAAGGCATTCTCCTATAAGCAAATGTGCCATAGGGACAAGTGAAGGTGGTCTTCTCCTGATCATCTGGATGGATTGAAATTTGGAAAAATCCTGAGTAACTATCCAAGAAACAGTAGTATTGATGATTGGCAAGGCGCTCAAGCATCTGGTCTGTGAACGGCAGGGGGTAGTGGTCCTTGCGCGTAGAGGAGTTCAGCTTCCTGTAGTCAACACACATTCTGTGTCCTGTGATTGTCCTTGTCGGAATGAGCTCATCATGTTCATTCTTGATGACTGTGATCCCTCCTTTCTTTGGCACGACATGTACAGGGCTAACCCATGCACTATCTGATATTGGATAAATCACTCCAGTCTTCAATAGCTTCATTATCTCCTTCTTTACAACTTCCTTTAGGTTTGGGTTTAGCCTCCTTTGATGTTCAATGGAAGAACTAGACTCATCCTCCAGGATGATGCGATGCATGCATAGCTGCATGTCTTCTCCATATTGGTTATGATCATTCTTATCTTCTCCAAGTAGCTGGTGTCACCACTTGATTGGCTTAGAACAAGATTACTCCAATGTACGTTTCCTCGTCCAGAGGGTTTCGTACGTTTCCCTGTCCGGAGGGTTTCGTCCCGTCTTGCTTGAGTATTAAAATCTCCTATTTTAATCCTTCCCTCATTTCCATGTTTCTGAGCTTCCACATAGTTGCTTGGAAATGTGCGGAATACCTCCATCCCAAACATTTACGTTTCTTGCAGTCGTTGCGGGATAGATCTTGGGCGTCCGTCCCATCTCTCAATCTGCTCGTCCGATTTGCATTCTGCTTCGACCAAACTTCTTAGAATGGTCTCTATGTCGTCCAAACTCTTCTCTTCTTGATTTGGAGAACTTTGATATTTCGTCGTCCTGTTGACTCTTCCCATGTTTGTACAATGATCGTCCCACCTGGACAATCTTGCTGTATCTTCAGTTCTGCTTGATCGTTGTTGATCCTGTCTTGATCCAAATCTTCGTTGTGATCTCTGGATTAGATCCCACGTCTTTTTCTTCCAATCCCAGAGTGTTGATCTTCCCATCCCGGCCTTTGGGATGTTTTAGGTCTTGATACGGGGTATCACAACCTGTGCATCATTAGTGGGGCTAGCTATGGCTTCCACCCATTTGGACATAATCAACTGCAACCAAATGTATTGGTCGCCAAAAGAGGTTGGGAAGGGTCCCATAAAGTCTATGCCCCAAACATCAAAAACTTCAACTTCTAGTATAAAGTTCTGTGGCATCTCATTCCTCTTGCTTATATTTCCCATTCTTTGGCAAGCATCACATCTTGATATGAATGCATGAGCATCCTTAAACATAGTTGGCCACCAAAATCCAGCTTGTAACCTTGGATACTGTCTTGTAAGTGGCAAAGTGGCCTGCATAGCTAGAACTATGACAAGCAAACAATATTCCTTCTACTTCTTCCTCAGGGATGCATCTTCTAAACATTCCATCTGAACATTTCTTGTATAAGTAAGGTTCATCCCAGTAATACCTTCTCACATCACGCAGAATTTCTTCTTTCTGTAGCCAAAGAAGTTTGGTGGTGGGTATTCAGCTGCAAGGAAGTTTGCTATGTGGCGAAACCATGGTGTGTTTGATGATGAGATCTTTGTTCCTGGCCTGTGATGGCTTAGTTGTCCATGCTTATTGCTAGCTTCAGCTGCATAAACTGTTTCTTCAGGTAGCCTATCATCAAGAGGTAGTTTTCTTCAACTCTCATCCTTGAAAGGTGATCAGCTACTCCATTATCTGCTCCTCTTCTATCCTTGATCTCAAGATCAAATTCTTGCAATAGTAGTATCCATCTCAGCAATCTTGGCTTGGCATCTTTCTTGGATAAGAGATACCTTAATGCTGCATGATCAGAATGAACTATAACTTTCGATCCCACCAAGTATGATCGAAACTTCTCAAATGCAAAGACAATAGCTAGAAGCTCCTTTTCTGTCGTGGCATACTTGCATTGTGCCTCATCAAGCGTTCTGCTGGCATAATAGATCACATGTAGCTTCTTGTCTTTTCTTTGCCCAAGCACTGCTCCTACTGCATAATCACTTGCATCACACATTATCTCAAAAGGTAGTTCCCAGTTTGGAGGTTGAACCACTGGCGCACTGACCAATGCATCCTTGATCTTAGTGAAAGCCTTGTGACACTCCTCTGTGAACTCAAAGTTAATGTCCTTGCATAATAGGCGTGTTAGTGGCCTTGCTATCTGCGAGAAATCTTTAATGAACCTCCTGTAGAATCCAGCATGTCCTAGGAAGCTTCTGATATCTTTGACTGTCTTGGGCGGCTGAAGGTTTGTCATGACTTCAATCTTGGCCTTGTCAACTTCTATGCCTCTCTCTGAGATTCTATGTCCAAGCACTATTCCATCTCTAACCATAAAGTGACACTTCTCCCAATTTAGAACTAGGTGCTTGTCTTCACATCTCTGTAGCACTCTTCCAAGATTTCCCAAACATGATTCAAAAGAAGAACCATATACTGAGAAATCATCCATGAAAACCTCCATAATCTCTTCTATTAGATCTGTGAATATGGACATCATACACCTTTGGAATGTAGCTGGAGCATTGCACAATCCAAAAGGCATTCTCCTATAAGCATATGTGCCATAGGGACAAGTGAAGGTAGTCTTCTCCTGATCATCTGGATGGATTGGAATTTGGAAAAATCCTGAGTATCCATCCAAGAAACAGTAGTATTGATGATTGGCAAGGCGCTCAAGCATCTGGTCTATGAATGGCAGGGGGTAGTGGTCCTTGCGCGTAGAGGAGTTCAGCTTCCTGTAGTCGACACACATTCTGTGTCCTGTGATTGTCCTTGTTGGAATGAGCTCATCATGTTCATTCTTGATGACTGTGATCCCTCCTTTCTTTGGCACGACATGTACAGGGCTGACCCATGCACTATCTGATATTGGATAAATCACTCCAGCCTTCAATAGCTTCATTATCTCCTTCTTTACAACTTCCTTTAGGTTTGGGTTTAGCCTCCTTTGATGTTCAATGGAAGAACTAGACTCATCCTCCAGGATGATGCGATGCATGCATAATTCCCTTCCTGTCCGGCAGAGTGCGTTCGGCCGGCTGTTAACCAGTCTTCAGTACAAACGTGATATCTCCTAAACGGCTATCCAAATTGCATACTTCCAACGGAATTAGAACACTAACCATCTGCCTATCTTGGTGTTGAGTTTCATTGAAATCCATTGAGTTTAAGGGTCCAAGCCGCTGCTGCTCGTCTGATGTACTGATGCAGTCCGATAAATCTCCTCGGTATATGTCTCAGGGAAATAGAGATATCTCCAATCTACTCGGTCAAATTGAGTGATTCCAGTTGCGTTGCAAAGCTAACTCACGTATGCATCGCCTCGAACTGGATTTGATGAATTCCATTGAGTAGATTTTTTAAGGCCCTTCTTAAGTTGATGCTACGTCCTGGAGCTGTCTTGAAGTCCAAATCATGTGTTTTGCTCCAAAATGCATCTTTTCACCTGTTTAGACTCTAGTACTATAAATCCATAAAAACTACCTTTTTAGATAGAAAGCCATTAAAAACCATTAGAAAACATAGTAAAACATATAAAAAGCATGTAAAATAGAGGTATATCAACTCCCCCAGACTTAGATCTTTGCTTGTCCCCAAGCAAAAAGAATCTAAACTAGTGAAGAGGTTTTGAAAACGTGGAACTCCCTTGCTTCTTTGAAAATCCTGTGAAAGGTTCCTTTCCTGTATTCCACTAAGAACATAGTCAACATAAGGTTAGCTTCACATACACCCTGCAAGTTTAGCGAACAATACCAACCCAACTAGTCTCATCCAGCAATCCAAACTCTCTATTGCTAACCTCTTGCATAAATTTAAAGCGTGAGTTCTTTATCAAGGGAACATCGATCAATTGAACTTGTTCTTACCCACTTGATCTTCTCCAAGATTGTCTTTGAAGTGCAATGAGTTCTTTTCCTCTCTCTTTCTCACATCAGAACTTTGAAAGGTCAATTTCTCCCTACTTTTCTAGGGTATCATTTTATTTTTTCTATTGACCCTTCTTTCAACCACAGGATAAGTCTTTAGCTTGTTCCTTGTTTGACTAAGGTATTCCATAAGACATGAAGGTACAGACATATGCATTCCTCATGCTTACTTGTTTTCCTTGTGCTCTTTGAGCTTTTCTCATAAACATTACTTACCATTTGGGATGGGAGAGAGAGGAGAACTCTTTAGACAAATCTCATTGAAAATCAAGCAAGGAACTGTCGACATGTATGCCAATCCCCTTGACAAGAGTTATTAAGATTGATTAAGGGTGAGGTTAACTCTAGATTGCTTGGTTACCTTAGAAATTTCGCTGAGCTAGCATGTCGATCCACTGTAGAGCTTCTGTTAGGCTTGTGCCTTTAGCTGATGTCTGCTCTAGGGTCATAGATTGTTAGCATAACACTATCAAATCTCAAAGCAAGTTCATAAGTTTCCGGACTGGTTTTGACTCAATAAAACAGAAATTTTTGAAAAAGTGAAAAGAATAAATATAAGATAAGACAAGCATGAACAAACACATTAGTACCAACAATCCCCCCAGACTTAACTTGCACCGTCCCGGTGAAAGCAAATCCGATTAAGGGAGGAAAAAGAAATATGTAATAATGTGTGAATGAATGAGAAGAAAGATATAACCTGATTAGACATTAAGTCCATGAAGAAACAATCTAGTGGTGGTATGTAGTTGACCTTTGTTCAGTTTCAGGGCTTGGTTCACTCCGGGTTGCGTTCTGGCCGAGATGGGACATTTCGGTCGACCGGAGGGTAGTGCTATGGACTACAGCTCAAACTATAATGAATTCCTCGACCCATATTGAAATTTCATCGACCAACCTCATATTTGATGGCCTCTGGTGAAGTTTGAGAGCATTCGAACGAGTGGATTGAGAGATCCTTCACAAAGTGGTCAATATGGCTCCGGGAAGAGGTTTCTTGGCCATCCTTGAGTTTGGCTCGTTCGTTTTGTGATCTTCCTCTGGAAATGTGATAGTGCAGCTCCAGGAAGTCATTTCCATCCGGAGTTCGCGCCTATGCCGTGATTTGGTTTTGTCGGCCATTTGGTTGCACCGCGGACGACCGGATGGGGCTCTTCTGTATATCTCCTGAACCGTGAACATTTCACCGTCCTATCTTTTGGATGTGCCGACCAATTTTATGGTCGCCTGTGAAGTTTGGTGGACTTTGAACATACGGTTGAGGAGTTGGCCGAGATTGGTTCTCCATGCATGTGCCATGGCCGAGAGAAATAGGCCGGATGGAATTTCTTCAAATCCACTCGGGCCAATTGAGATTTTCTTCGACCAAAGTGATTTTCTAACTCTTATTTATCATTCCCATGTGGTGCGCGCCTTGTTCCTTGGGATTGGGTATGTTCCTCCTTTGAAACCTTCCTTAAACCTCCATAGGTATGATGGTTGTGGTCGGCTATAGCATTTCTTCTTGATATCCTTCCTGTCAAGTAATTTAATCCTTGCAAAATACTTGAAATCACTGATTAGATAGTTCTTAGATTGAGACCCTCAAGTAACCAGCTTGAAGTTCACAATCCAAGAGATTAAGGTAAAAACTATAAACATATTTTTGGGTCTTGGTTAGTGATCCCAAACTTCAAATTATAGTTTAGTCTATGTGAATTCATTGCATCATATAAGTTTGACAAGTAGAGATATATTTCATTCAATAACCATGAAGTTTTAAAGCGATTTAGACCATGAAATGTAACTAATGAAGTGCAATGGTTCAAATGCTCATGAATAGAGATTAATAGTGGTCATGAATGAAATATTGGAGAAGAATTTACTTACCTGTAGTGGAGATTTCGCCTTGAACAAGGGTGGGACTTTGGGTGGGACACTTTCATGGTTTTGTCTCCTTTCTTCATTTTTCGAGGTTTCTTCTCAAATTTCATGCTAGATTCTCAAATCTCTGTATCCAAAACTTCAAAAACAAAACAAAAACCATTAAACTAAAACAAAAATTAAAAAGGGAAAAGAAAACACCTTATGGGTTGCCTCCCATATAGCGCTTGTTTAAAGTCTTTTAGCTTGACTCTTTCTCTTTCTAATTGACCAATTGATCAAATAGAAGAGTTGAGGCTCCTTTAGCTTCTCTACATTCTGGACCTGACGGTTTGAAACTCCTCCTATGGATATCTTGAAGGTCTTGAATGTAGTTGCAAGAAACAATACCACCAGTAAAGAGTTTCCTCTTCTTGTGCAGCCCATCCTTGAAGGGTTCTTTGTTTTCCTTATTCTGGAAATCAAAGCTGAACTTAGAGAAGCATCTTGAAGTTCTTATAGGCTGTGGTGTGGCATCAATCACGTCCTCCTTGTACTCCCTTGGTGTCAAAATCTTGCTTGAGACACTTGAAACCTTAATGCAGTTTGCCTTTGCCGGTATGGCAATTTCCTTAGGTATGATGAGAGGGGCTGCTGATATGACGTCTATCAACTCCTCTTGGTCATTATAAGGCTCTGATAGTGGTTCCTCTCTAGCGCACACATCTGCAGAATGAGAGCTCTTGATAGGAACCGCCGGATAGGACATGGCTTTACTGATTTTGGAGAGAGAGATTCTTTGCTTCTGAAGATCCAAGATTGCTCCATTGGCTTCAAGGAATGATGAACCAAAACTCAATGGCTTGTCAGGGTCTTGTTTCATCTCTAATATATGGAAATCAGCCTTAAAGACGTGATCTCCAATGGATAGTGTAAGATTCGAGATGAAACCATGGAAGAGAGTATAAGGGTCATCTTTAAACCGCATTGGTATCTTGGAGGGATCCCTGATTTCAATCCCAATCTTCTTGGCTATTCCTTTGTTCATGATGTTGATGTGAGATCTTGTATCACATATGGAATCCTTGAACAAAACTCCATTAATGATGCAAGGTACATCAAGCTTCTCCGGGTTAGAGATCTTCTCTAGTGGCTTCGGCTTGTAACCTCTTGTTGAGTCCAAAGAGTAATGCTCTTGCTCTGGTCTTGTAGCCAAGTTAACAGCAGTCTGGGGTGGTTTATGGGTTGGCACGAACTCAGCTTCCCTTCTAGAGATGATTCACAAAAAGCTTTTGTTTCCTCCATCTCTTGTCTTTTCAAATCTTCATAGGTTTGATCAACATGGGTGTGAATCTTCTTGATTTGACAAGCAAGAGACTCGTTCTTGTCAATGAAACTGTTGAACAAGCTTTCCATCCTCTCATCCAATTCATTAGTGAACTCTTTTTGATCATCCACAATCTGCTGAAGCATTGCTTGAATCACACTATTTTGCTGAACCGGATGAGGTGCGCTTGGAGGAAAGTTGTAAGGCTGCTTCATTGGGTACATGCCTTCTTGATTGTACTGCTGCATAGGTTGGAATTGACTTCCTTGATGGTGAAACCGTGGTGATTGCTGCTGGAAGTCAGGAGGATAGATGAAGTCATCTAGATAGTTAACTTCTTGTGATTGCTCCCATGCAAAATCTCCAATGGTTTCTTGGTAGTAAGGGGCACGCCTTAGTAGGACATGATCTTGGGTCTGGCCATAGATCATAGCTTTCATCTTATAATCAAGTTTGCACCTGAAACACACAAAGATAAAGGCTTAAAGCGAAATTGAAACAAAAACTAAAACAAAGGAAGAATGAAAAACAACTAAAACTAAAAATCAAATGCAAAAACTACTAAAACTAAATTCCTAGACTAAGCTATTCTTGGGAACTCGTAGGCAGCTGTATTGCTCCCCGGCAACGGCGCCAAAAACTTGATGCGGGATCAGGTTTTACCTATTCCTATCCCTGATTCTGCAAGTGCACAGGTCAGGTGTAGTAACGGGTTATCGAACACAAGGAGCAGATAAGTGCACTACAAGCTATGCAAGTCTAACTTAGCTAGGACAAAAGGATGAATTGGGGTTTTGGTATGCAAAAGAACTAAACTAAAAGAAAGCAATATGAAAGCGGTGTAAGTTCAATGTGGGAAAGACGCTAGGCAATAGGTAATTCGCAGAGATTCATATATGATAAGATTGATGATTGATTTATATCTATTTAGGGATATGGGATGTAAGATCCGTCTAGAACACCAAACACGATGTAAAACCATTCCACTGTCGAGGCTCCGGTTCCTTTGTTAATCTACCTAGTCGCTAAACTTTTGGTATGTCCCTAGGTGATTAAATCAAGCATTAGATCGAGCAAGTTCGGATACAGTTCACTAGGTTAAGTAAATCAACTGTCGCAGTCTAAGAAACCTAGCTTGTCAAAGAATATGTCCGGCGAATGATACAACACTTTCGAGGCTCAAATCAACCTAAGATCGAATCACTAGATGTACGGTAAAGTGATTAGCATTAATTAAGTGTGCAAAACGAGACAAAGACTCTAATGATATCCCTAGTTAATTCATCAAATCATAATCAACACATGAACTCTTTGAAACCCTAAAACCTAACTAGAAATCTACTCAAACATGGTGCAAGTAAACAAGCATAGATCTGAGATAGAAATCATATTAATATAAGAGAAAAGGGTTTAGAAAGCTTCTCTATGTCGAGATACAAAGAAGGGATCTTCTCCCTAAGGAAAACAATGAGAAAGAAGTAAAACAATGGAAGATCCCTCTAAGGGGAGCTCCCTAGTGCGCCTCTCTCTTGTAGCTCTTCTCTTGTGACTCTCTATGCGGCCTCTCTTCTAAAGAGGCTAAAAAAGAGTATTTATAGTGCCCTAGGTCTTCACAAGTCGGTTTAGGTTAATTGGGCTGAGAATTGTCAAAACTGCATAAGTGGGCTTCTTGTTCGCGGAGATCGGGTCGAGCGCGGTCCTTTGCTTCCCGGGTCGCACGGTCTGGTCGGCCGTGATGTGATGATCTCGGTCGATCGTGGTCCATTGCCTCCCGGGTCGGACGGTGTGGTCGTGCGGTCGGATCCGTCCTGGAGAAGGCCGAGCGAAGCCAATTCCCTTCCTGTCCGGCAGAGTGCGTTCGGCCGGCTGTTAACCAGTCTTCAGTACAAACGTGATATCTCCTAAATGGCTTATCCAAATTGCATACTTCCAACGGCATTGGTAACTCAAGTTTCATTGAAATCCATTGAGTTTAAGGGTCCAAGCCGCGGCTGCCCGTTTGATGTACTGATGCAGTCCGATTAAGCTCCTCGTATATGTCTCAGGGAAATAGAGATATCTCCCAATCTACTCGGTCAAACTGAGTGATTCCAGTTGCGTTGCAAAGCTAACTCACGTATGCATCGCCTCGAACTGGATTTGATGAATTCCATTGAGTAGATGTTTTTAAGGCCCTTCTTAAGTTGATGCTACGTCCTGGAGCTGGTCTTGAAGTCCAAATCATGTGTTTTGCTCCAAAATGCATCTTTTGACCTGTTTAGACTCTAAGTACTATAAATCCATAAAAACTACCTTTTTAGATCAGAAAGCCATTAAAAACCTTATAAAAAGCATAGTAAAACCATATAAAAAGCATGTAAAATAGAGGTAAGTCTGGGGGGATTACTAACAGTTTGTTCTTTTTGCTTTTCATTGAGTCGTTTTATTGAGTCAAAATTTTGTCAAAGGATTATGACCTTATCTTGGATCTAACCATTGTTGTGCTAACGTTTAAGTGACCATTGAAGCAGTCTTGGCAATACATCTTACCACAGGGACACTATGAGTTGATCGATCTACCAAAAACGCCCACACCTCCAAGGACTTGAGAAGGATCCACTCTTGACTCCGCCCTTAATGAACTTAATCTTCTCAGCTAGGGGCTTGGCATACAAATGGCATGATTCCTCATCCTCTCCATCAAATGAAAAAGTCTTAGTGAGTTCGTGCTTCCCTCTCTCTCCCCTTCAATTTAAAAGAAAAAGCGTAAGGTCCAAGTAACCGGGGATTCGGTGGCAAACACCATCAATACTCGCGTCTATGGAAGGCCTATGAATCCAAGCAACCGGGGATTCGGTGGCAAACACCATCAATACTCGCGTCTGTGGAAGTCCAAGCAAAACCTCTATAATAAAGAGAAGGAGTTGAATAAAAAAATACTTCGCTACCCTAAAAAAAGGGATGAGTCAACTCAAAGAAGTGAGAAGAGAGAGAGGAGAAACATGGAGTAAAAGACAAGTGCCAAAACAAGGGGATGAGTAAGAGTCTAAAGCCGGCTGATCGATACTCCCTAGTTGAGACCACACCTTTAGAAATGAAAGGAGTCAAGGAGGGTGAATTGGATTGTCCAAAGAGAGGTGGGCCGCCTTGGAAAAATCGCAAAACTCATGGTATGTACTTGTTCTTAATTCAAATGGAAACTTTCCTCTTCGCGCGCCTCAACTTTGCCGACCTAGACCCGCTCTCTACCTATATATACTTGCTTTTAGCCTCTTGTAATAGAGACGCATACAAGAAACATACAATTCAATAAAGTTCGGAGCCACTTAGGTGGTCTCCTTCTTCTTTCTTTTCTTCTTTTGCATTTGTATATAGCTTCGCATGTTTCAATTCATATAGTCTAGAAGTAGAGACTTCTCCCTAAGATTGAGATACGGTTTGACTCATATCTCTCCGCCTCTCTCTCTAGGACTCATGAGATCTCATCTACTATCTATGACTCATTGTTGAATTATGGATCCTTTCATTGAGGACATGACATAATTGCCATCGAAAATCGATTGTTAAATAAAGGGGAAACCCTATGGTTCTCCATCTTTATTCATGCTTAATGCTTGTTGCTAGAGTAGCTAACTAGTGACTTGATTATAGGTTGATATACTCTCCAAAAGCTTGTTATATCTCCGGATATAGTATTTGATGGGCAAATCGTTTTAGGCTACGAAAGTAGACCTAAAGAGTTTTGTGAACAATCATTACTTTGTGTAATGCATGTCTCACTCTACAATGACCAACGAAAGCTGAGCCCATTGGTTTAAGAGACATAGGGGATTGGAACCACGAAAGTGGAATAATCCTTCCTTAGTGTTTTGAGTTCAAAAGAATCGGAATTTAACAAACTTTTCAATCGACTTGGCATGTGTTTTCAAATGAGTTTTTCAATAGTTCAATAATGTTGTTTGTATAGAATTGCATTGTTCTTTCTTTTCACGTGTTCTACCAAACACAAACCCTTGCATAGTTGATTTAGCTTAGATCTTTGAACTATATGATTGTGTAATGTGTGAAATCCAATCCCTTGTGGTTCGACCCCTAAATACTACAATTATATGTTGTGCACTTGCAACTCTAGTTGTCTTAGGGAATTATCACTTGTACTCATCCCATAGATGCCGCATCACCAGGGGAAGCTACACTTAATCGATCCTGCTTTTAAAACTCCTTGTACTAAGGTTTCTCTTGATATTGGGCTTCTCAATGCCTAGCTAACCCTTTCCCAAGGTGGAAGCTATCAACCAAGGAATGATCTCAGAAACAGGGGGTTAGCCAGTGAGAATCAAACCTTGGAGGCCATGGGATCATTGCCCAAACTAATCCATCCAACCCCTATGAACTCCATTTCGAGAGCAAGGGTTGTTGGAGCCCTTAGTGGATATTTTCCAGCGATTTCCATCACTTCCATGTGGAGAATCGCCTAATGACATACAAGCCAGGG